ACGATATCTTATTTCCCATAATTAGGTTTATCTTCCCATGCTCCACATCCTCATTTCTTCTTAGTCCCTGCAAATCAGAGCAGATGTGAAAACCACATCCTGTATCAAGGACCCAAGAATTAAAATGCGATGAGTTTTTAGATTGAATAGTGTAAATAACTGTCGAGGATGGCTTGATCTTGCCATTCTTTATATCTTGCAAGTACTTGGGGAAACTTCTCTTCCAATGCCCCTTGTCATGGTAGTAGAAGCAGGTAGCCTCTTTAGGCTCAAAGGTAGGGGGATTCAGAACTAGACTTGCCTTTAGGGCCATTGCTAGATGACTTGGCTTGGGACTTTCCCTTCGAGTTTTGTTTTGAGGAAGCTTTCCTCTTTTTCCCCTTCCTTTGCCTACTTGCCATGATGGGAGCAGCAGCAGGAGGAGTGGAGGCAATACTCTTTCCCTTTATTCCACTCTCAGCGGTTCTTAGCAACCTCTAAAGCTGACTCAATGTGACTTCCTCATTGTTCAGATGATACACCATGATGAACAGATCATAACAAGAAGGCAATGAGTACAAGACTATGTCAATAGCCAATTCCTCATCAAAGTTTACATTAAGCTTCAAGACATGATCCATATAGCGCTGCATGCGTTGTAGGTGGGTCGTGACAGATTGTCCGTCCTTCATCTTAGTGGTTATAAATGACTTGACTATCTCATACCTTTCTTGACGTGCTCATTGATGGTACTTCTCCATCAAGTCCTTACACATCTCATAAGACCAATAGTCTTCATAAAACCGTTGTAGCTCACGAGTAATAGTGGCCACCATGATACATGACGCTTTGGTTGTGTGTTTGCAGTAGGCCCTATACTCAGCTATTTCTTTAAGAGTAGCTTTTGATTCATCTATCTCGTTTAAATCTTTGTCGAGGCCATATTCCTTGTCCTCAAATCGCAACGCCATCCTGATGTAGTGCATCCAATCATTAAAGTTAGAGCCATCGAATGAGACCTTGGCACAAATGCTCAAGAGCGAGAAGGTGTTCGTGGAGTTTTTGTTAGAGGAACCGGAAGCGTTGGTGGAAGTTGAAATCTACAAAAGAAGAAAGACAAGTTTTTGATTAGATAGGGAAATCCTTAATATAACACCCAAATGAAATATTAAGGCTATTCCCCAACACAATAATTTACAATTCAAAAAAAGGATGTCGTAATCCAATTGTAAATTATTTGAAGGTCGGTAAATGACGATTTACCAATTTCACCATGAAAAACAAAAATTTTAAGCGAATTAGGTTTTAAATGAAATTCTTGGATATTTTGTGATTCCTTGAACTATTCACTGGCATGTTTAATCTCGATTATGCCCTTTCCATTTATGATTGGGAAACCGAGGATACCAAACAAGGTGTGAATAACCATGCAAATTAGCTTGGTACTCTCGATGTCATTTACCACCTAATCAATGTATCGGTTAACGACACACGCTCCATTGATCTATGATAATTTACAAGCTACCCATTGCCATTTTCCACCCTTTATTAGTCCATATTAATGTGCCGGTTAACCATACATGCTTCACTAATGTCTTTTATAAAGTGCAATGTGCAATTTCATAGATTAGCATCAAATTCTCATTTTCCTAAAGTAACTAAGATTGAGAATTTTATGAAAACATTGAATTACTTTATTTACTTTCACTACACTTATTAATGAGAGTTTAATGTCCTATCAAACAAGTTCAACTAATGACTCTCCATTAGTCAAGAGAGCAGTGGGTAAAAGTGGATACCCAATAACAGTCATTTTATAGGCCACTTCCTTAAACTCCTCTTATAAACTAGCTTCGTGAATGAAGCCTACTAACAGTACGACTGACTTTTCTTATACATATATAAAAACATTAACCTTTAATTTTACAATATATATATATATATATATATATATATATATATATATATATATATATATAATGGTGTATTTTAAACTTTTAAAATACTAGCTTTCTAGAATTTAAGATTTCAAAATTAAACTATTTAGTTAAATTTTAAATTCCGAAACCAATGGGGTATTATTAAAACTTTTAAAAAATACTAGGTTAAATTTTTAATCAAATTAACTATTAATTTTATCATTAACAAAAATTTAACCAAATCATTAATGTTGATAAGGATACACAGTTACATTTAATAAAATTTAGTTTTTATGCAGAAAAACGAATTAAGGTAATAATCCTAATCAAGCCAAGATTATCAAAATCAAGGATCTGATAGGCCAACTTGTCAAGTCTGTGCCATGCATTCGTCGAGTTGTGCTAACTCATAGAGTTCTAACTATGAACTCATCGAGTTTTATGAATAGAATCACGATTCTACTCCCTTCCCCTTTGAATGTTTCATAATTGCATCAAGTTCAACTGAAAAACATCCTAGGCTCTGATACCACTGATTGGTTTTGAGCATAACTACAAATCCTATGTGTTCATGCAACCCTCATGCTTTGGATCTAGGTTTTCACTAGTTGAAGATGCAAACTTGAATACAAAAGAGAAACCCTAATGTGCATCTATATAATGCAAACTTGAATACAAAGGATTAATTGTTATTTTGTAATAACAATTAATCCTTGGAGATCTTGAACTCTTGAAAGCAAGCGCCTCAAATGTGAGACCTCTAATGGCTTACAAACACTCTTTACAAGAAGATGAGAGCAGATAGGAGGGATTGCTCTTAGAAAATCGTCTCTTCTAGGGTTAGAAGCAAGTGGCCGAAAATCCCAAGGGTTAGAACCCTTTTATACTTGAGGTGGCTTAGTCCCAAAGCTAGGGTTTGTAGGTGTAAACCCTAATTTCCTGCTTAAGGCCTAAGCAGCCCATAAACTCCTCTTCTAGAAGCCTTGGACAAAAACATATAGGGCCTCCCTATAAGTTTTGTCCACTCCTGTCTAAGGAGTCCAAGAGCCCAGTTTCACAACTATCAATGATTTGCAAAACAGGCCATGTACTTTTAATTTATTCATTTAATCCCAAAATCAATTCCAAATTATTTTTTGATTAAATAATCCCAAAATAGCCCAGTTTCACAACTATCAATGATTTCCAAATTATTTCTTATTTTTATTTTAAAAAATATTAAAATAAATATAAGAAATGCAAAAAAGAAATTAAAATGGCATAACAGTCATTCCAAGCCTTCCAAGGACCAAAACCACATAAAGTTTATGAGTTTTGATACTCATTACAAGTCAGAAACTTTTTGGATCCTATCCGTATTTTTTGTGAAACCACAGAGACCAATTTTGTAGTTTAATCTTATTATTATTATTTATTAAAAAAATAAAATAAGGCCATAAGTAAGGGTGACGATTCTTGACCCAATTCGTAACCCGGCATTAACCCGACACGAAAATAAACAAGTTTGTGCTGAGCTTTGTGACCCACTAACCCGTTTATTTCATGGGTCGGGTTGGGTTACCTATTTGGGTTCACAAATCAACCTGCTAACCTGTCTATATATATATATATATATATATATATATATAATATATATATATATATATATATATATATATATATATATATATATATATATATTAAAATTTTATTTATGAATTAACAGAATATAGTCAATATACACCGTTCAAAACCTTCTTTTTCTTTCAAATGTTTTGCTTATTAACTTATTATGTTAGCTTTATATTTGATTATTCATTTCTTTCTATTTAATGTAAAATGTAATTATTAATTAATTTAGGGACGTGTATAATTCATATCTTCTTTAATAAATGAATGTTTTTTTATCACTTGTCAAATTCTCAAGAGTTTTGTCACATGTAATTTTATGAGAGTTTTAGAATTATTATTTTTCACTTGTCATTTTTTGGGAATTTCATTTTTTAAAATAAATTCCACAAAATTCTAAATTTTTTTATAGGAAAAGAGAATCATTATATTAATTTAATAATAAAATCTCATAAATGTTTTGAAGAATATTTGATTTCTTTTATAAATATTTCAAAAGATTACATTATATTATGTAAAAATGTTATTTTAAAAAATATTTAATGTTTAAATATTGATATTAAATTTTTATTTTTAATAAATCTGTGTAGTACACAAATCTCACGTATAGTAATTAACATGTGAAAAGTTATTTGAAAATAATTGATCAACTCTTTGATCTGAAATCGACTCGCTAACCCACGTACTTATATACTTAAACGGATTATGTGGATTAGATTGATCCCAACCCGTCAACCCACATATTATATGGATTAGGTTGGATCAAGGTTGGGTCAATGTATTATAACCCATCAACCCTCCAACCCATGACCTCCAACCCCAATCCAACCTAATTGTTATGCCTAATCATTAACCTTTTTCATTATTAATAAGCTACCACCTTTATCACAACCTCTCCTCTACTTTTCTTCCACTCCATTTCATTGAGTCTCCATTCCCTAATCTTGGATAGAAAACAAACCAAATTATAAAAACGAACGACACACAATGAAGCTTATATTCTCTTCTTATTTTGTTTCAAACGCAAAAAAGATGATCATATACACTGATTTTGTCTTTACTTTCTTGAAAAGGAAGAACAAACAAAATCAAACGTGGATAGATAAACTTATTCCTTTTTATCGATGACGTTATTCATCATCAATTATGTTGAAACCCTATCACATATCTATGTTCGAATAGAAAAAGAAAAAACAAACCAAATCAAGTTTAGATATGTCATATGGGTTGATAGTGTCGGTCATCATTATTTTCTTTGTTTTATCTTAAATAAAAGCTATAACGACCTCAATCTCAAAAACTATGCATAATGTTGCTTCCTAAATCATTTTTAATATAAGTTATTTTCTAAAACATTTATAAATATTAATAATTTTTTAGAAAAAGGAAAATAATAATAAAGTAGAAACCAATAAAAACTCATAGAAACCCGTTGCCAAACCGGCCTTGAAAAACCGTCTAACGACTAACATACGCACCCATCCCTCTCCTTCCAGCTTACTTCCAAAGTCGTGCGGCACGTGACATCGCCACCTGAGAAAACCCTTTCACCTCCGTATTCTCCCCCTCTGCGTCGCTTCTGAGAGCGCTCCACCGCCGTGCTTTCACTAACATGCGCCATAACCTCCTCTCCACCTCCTTCTTCCCAATGGCACCTTCCTCCTTTTCCTCTTCCACCACAACCACCCACCACCACCACCTCAACAAAAAGCCCTCTTCATCTTCTTCTTCAAACCCTAACCCTAACAATTGTACAGGCACTTGCTCTCATCATTCCCCCTCCGCGACTCTAGATATCTTAATCCTCATCCTAGTCCTGTTTTCCGGCGCATTTTTAGTCTCTTCCTACTTCTCCTACATCTTCCATTCTCTCTCCCTTATCCTCCCGCCTATTTCTCTCTCTATCCTTATAGACATCTCCTCTCTTTACCTCATCGGCTTCTTCCTGTTCTTCGTGCTTTCGATAATCGGTTTGGAGATCTGTTGTGGCAACAGGTCAAGGAAGTGTGGGAGGAAAGGATGTAAAGGGTTGAAGAAGGCGATGGAGTTCGATCTGCAGCTGCAGACGGAGGAGGTATTGAGATCGGGTGTCAAAGGAATGAAGGAGATGGATGAGTTGCCATGGAAAGGAGGGAGTGAGACAAATCCTGATTATGAGTGTTTGAGGACTGAGTTGAGGAAGATGGCACCGATGAATGGAAGAGCAGTGTTGCTGTTTCGATCCAAGTGTGGTTGCCCTGTTGCAAAGCTTGAAGGATGGGGCCCTAAACGTGGGAGGAGAAACAAGAAGTAAGTTTGATTCTCTGTAGACTTTATTTTAGTGATTTAACTGTGGATATTATGTATGGTTAGCTTATTATGAATTCATATTTAGCTGTTTGTGAATCTTTACTACAAGAACAACTTATTGGCAACATGGTTTAAGTTCTTTTGTCACATTGATGATCAGGGTTACACTTACATTAGTTGATGAAACTTGAAAGAAAAAAGCTTTGGTTAGATTGATGGTTTTCACATGTTTGCCTGTTCTAGATCAACTGGAGAAATGGTTTTTTGATTGAAGAGTATTGTTTTCCCTCTTCTCAATAAGACTTTGATGCAAATATAGCTAAAAATGTCTGGATTCTTTGTGAACTTATTGACAGGAACATGACCATAGTTTTTGGGCTTCTTCAATTAGTGATACAGATTTTAGACAAATCTAATGAGAAGAACTTTTTGGAGGTTGCTTTTTTTAGAAGTAGTTTTGAATCAAATTGATACAGTAGTCACAGAACCTTAAATTATCTGGATTTCTTTTACACTTGAGTTATGATGTTTTGTGGTCCAAGTCACCTTATTGTGGTATTCTGTGTGATTTGGTCGGAATTGGAATTGGAATTGGAACTGGAATTCGATTCCATTCTAACCCTGCATCATGTTTGCATTTACACTTCTTTAGACGTCCCAATTTCAATTCATTTACTTAAAAATTGTTCATTTTAGGTTTTATATTTTATTGGTAACAGGTGAAACATGTGATATATAAAGAATCAGCTATAAAAATTAGATATTCACCTCTTTTTCTATATTTTGTACCATAATAACATACAAAATTTGTATATTTGGCAGGAATTTGAGTCTGAATGGAGGAAATCATGGCTGATACTTGAGAATGCAGTTGCTGTGGGTTTCAATTTCATCTGTGTTTCTTGTTTGTCTATTATTATTAGTATTACCCTCAAGAATTTGGGTTTATTTACTTTTATGGATGACTTGAAACTCTTGAAATATTTACAGAAAAGACCCTCCATTGTAAACCATATTTGCTTGGTATATCAAGGGTAGTATACTTGATTAAATATGAATAAATATCTAAACATTTTGGTTAATGTTTGTTGCTTTTAAACCTAATTTTGGCCATAAGGCTGCGTGTGTTAACATGGCACAAGTATTTTAGCGCTATTTTTGGTTGAGGATGAGGGAGGGTATTTATGTCTTTTGCATAGACTAGAGATCGTGAAAGAGTCTCTACCCTATCTAGTTCCAACTTTTTCGTTCGGACAAAATGGTAAATTTTGTTCGGGGGAACATTGTAATTTTTGTTCCATTGATTTCAGTTAAAATCAGGACATGTTAATAGGTAATTGTTAGGAAACATTCTAACATGTTAATTTACCATAGTGTTAGCTCAAAGCACACTACTATACTTTTTAGGAAATAGTTACCAAAGTTCATTTGAAGAAATCTAAATCTTAGGTATTCTATGATTTATATGATTTTGGAAGATATATTAGTTTTGGTTATGTTTGGCGTATAAGCTAAAATAAAATCAGATTTTTGGTAAAAACTAACTGATAAACTAATTGAAATATATAAAATTACATAAAAACATTGAGGATGATGAGTTTTCTATAATTAATTAAAGGGTATATTCAGAATATTATTAAAAAACTCACAAAAAGCTAATCTATTTTTGCTTTTTTAAAAGTTAGTTTATAAGCTATTTTTTAGTTTTGTTAAACATGACAACTTTAACATGGAAACTTAAAAATATTCGAAAAATAAACAAAGTTATAAGATACCAAACACATCATTCATATTATAAATAAGAATTTACTTGCAATCATTCTTTGGCGATCTTTATCTGATGATCAAAAGTATTTGATTAGTATTTATTAACATTACTTGGTGTATAAATAGTTAAATACACGAAAAATTAACAATAAGGTTGTTATTCTAATGACTAAACTGCACAAATGGTCCCTGTGGTTTGCTCAAAATTGCCACTTTGATCCAAAAAGTTTTGGACTAGCACCAGAGGTCCAAAGTTTTCATTTTGTTGCTTGTTTGGTCCAATCTGTTCTGATTTTTTTTAAAATGACAGATTTGCCCTTGTTTATATGATTTTTTTCTTTTTGCTTATTTGTTTTTTCTGATTTTCAGATTTAAAAAAAATAAAATAAAAATAAATCTCTCTCTCTCTCTCTCTCTCTCTCTATCTCCCCCACACACACTATTTCTCCTTCATTCTTCATTTGTTCTTCAAGGTTCTTAAGAACCCCTCATCTTCGACTCCACCACCGTCGTCGCCCTCAGTCACCATCGTCTTCAGCCACCACCTATCATGGACCACCATCTCGCCATCGCCATCCATCTGCAAACCATTTCTCCGATCTCGTCGCCGTCGTGTATATGTATAAACCTTCTTTTTTCCGGCAATCTGAAAAACTCCGTTGCAACTCGATGAAGCTCTAGATCTGTAAACTATCGTTCTTCCGGCGAGCCTCGTCTATCTCCATGTTTCTCTGCTTTCTTCATCAGCAAACCCTAGCGATTTGGTGACGACGTTCCAGAGAAGACGAAGGGCGGTGAAGAGTTAGGGTTTTCAGAAAACCCTTAGCGGCTACTCTTAATTCATCATCCCTATCATCCACCGAAAACCCTAGCTCCGACATCTTCATCAGGAAACCCTAGCACTGGTATGTGTTGAACGACGCCCTTACCTTCGTGTTCCCAAATCCGACGAGAAAAAAGATAAAGAGGGTAACGAACAGATTAAGTGACGAACATATCCATTGGTTAATTTCTTTTTCTTATTTTTTGGCAGATTTGGTGTTGCTGGTGGTTTGGCAATCATTTTGTGTTGATGACAATCAATGGTGTTTCAATGGTAGTGTGATGATCTGATGGAGAAAATGATGGGTTGTAGGGTCGGTGGTGGCTAATGGTGGGTAGTGTAGGCAGTGATTGATAAATGAGGGTGGTGATAGATGATGAAAGGTTCAGTTGAAGGTTGAAGGATGGTGAAGGTGATCAATGGCGAGGGTGGTAAAATGGTGTTGGGTCCATGTTCGGATTATGAAGGGAGCGAGGATGAGGGGTGGCTGAAGATGGACGGTGGTGGATTTGATGATGAGGGGTTCTTGAGAACCGTGAAGAACAAATGAAGAGGGAAGAAGATATATATATATATATATATATATATATATATATATATATATATATATATATATATATAGAGAGAGAGAGAGAGAGAGAGAGAGAGAGAGAGAGAGTGAGTGAGTGAGTGATATTTATTTTTATTTTTTATTATTTTAAGAGAGAGAGAGAGAGAGAGAGAGAGAGAGAAATTTATTTTTATTTTTTATTTTTTTAAATATTAAAATCAGAAAAACAAATAAGGAAAAAAAGAAAATTATATAAACAGGGGTAAATCCGTCATTTTGAAAAAAATCAGAACATATTGGACGAAACAAGCAACAAAATGAAAACTTTGGACCTCTGGTGCTAGTCCAAACATTTTTGGATCAAAGTGGCAATTTTGAGCAAACCACAGGGACCATTTGTGCAGTTTAGTCTATTCTAATTAGACATACTTCATATTGAGAGCTCTTGACATATGTTGCTTTAACCGATAGAAAAATTAACATCTGGTTGTGTGTTGTGATCGTTTGAAGCATGGTCGTTACTAAGATGTTTAGTCATCCTTCTTTAAGTGTTAGGATTTTCAACAATAAAACACAATTAAATGTGTTAATAAGAATAAACATTACAAGATTTACATGGTCGAGATAGTTAAGGTAATCGTGTTATATCCACATGCAAACTAAAAATGATTATTGATTTTGTAATGAGGCCTACAGTCACATCATGATCTATATATGGAGCTAGAAATTCGATTTTGGACCCTAAAATTGCTAGGTATTCGATATTACACTAACACTATATACAAGCTTAGCTAAGTCTTAATAGCGGGAAATAAAGCCAATGAGCAATCAAGACTCCATAACTCAACATTATGTAGATCACAAGAGAAGACAACAACCTTGTATTGAGTTTGACGAAACCAAGACATATATCAATTAGACCAAAATCAAATTTTTTTTAATCCCATCCTAAAGGTAGAACGACGTTGATCACTCTTGATCTCTTGTCTCATCCTCATTGTTATAAATAGCCTTAAAAGTTTGCATGTCTCATCTAAGCTAATCTACTTTGGTCCCATCATGTTGTCTTGTAATACACAACCTTTGATACAAGACATTCTATCTGATGTTGTTAGCTCTAACTCAATATCTTGCTACTTGCAGGGCCGGTCCAAATATATATGGGGCCCGGGGCAAAAAGATAAGTATAGTAAAGATTCAATATATATATATATATATATATATATATATATATATATATATATATATATATATATATATATATATATATATATATATATCTTTACTATCTTATAAAAGAAATCTACCTATTTCTAAAAATAGATTGATTATAATAATATTATTTTTTTAAAACGTTCAAATGATGAAGCTGATAGTACAAGTAACCATTAATAAAATAATATTAAATTTTAACCACATTTTGAATTCAAATATTTATCATCAAATCTCCTTATATTTCTCAACAATTTGATATGGTTCCCTCAAATCCCGGATTCATTCAAATTTTAAACCCTTTTAGATATCCTTAAATTTAGCATGTTGATTCAAATATCCCTCCAATCGCATATACCTCTTTGTTCCCTCCTCTGCTATAAAGCCCACCGTCCAGGAACAAAAAATGACTTCATCTCCCAAATAACACCATAGTTTGATTATTTTGTCTTCGACATGTACTTTCTTTTGTAAAATAACATTTTTGTAGAGGAAACATATCACCGAAAGAATTTACACGCCCCGCCGCTTTGCGCGGGTACACTGCTAGTATATATATATATATATATATATATATATATATATATATATATATATATATATATATATATATATATTCTTCATTATAGATGTGTTCAATTAGTCATAACAAGCAATCCAAATTGTTTATCTTTTGAGTTAATTTGAGTTTGTACCAATTTTAGGCTCTACCAATCATTTAGACAATAATATATATATATATATATATATATATATATATATATATATATATATATATATATATATATATATATATATATAAACTTAATTTTAGGCTTTACCAATCATTTAGACAATAATATATATATATATATATATATATATATATATATATATATATATATATATATACATACACACACACACTACATAGCTTACAAAATTTGGACCCCTTGGAGGCATTAGACCTGAGCGGTCACCCAGGTTGCCCACTGTCTGGATCGATCCTGACTATTTGTCATCATAGGTAAGGATTTTGTGATCATATATGCAAACACATACTTGTAACATATCTGATAGTTATACTTCAGAAAAGGATTTTAACTAAAATAAAACAAAACAGTGAATTGAGATTCAAACTGTATGATGTTAGAAATAATAGGTAAGAACTAAGAAGGGGGCGGGTGCTATTTTCAGTTAGTTGGAGGGGCTGGATTACAACTTCCTCAAACTTGAGAAAACTATCTTGGTAAATCAACCCTAAGGCTATCGGGTATGGTCACATGATGTTCACTAGAAAAGTGATACCACATATGTGCCACATCACCCCCACTACATATTAACTACACATTCACTAGCCTTGGAAATGGTTATCACTAGACAATGTTTTTTTTATATATTTAGATTGAAATAAAAAAAAAAAACTAAATTAATAACATAATTAGAAATGGTTATCACTAGACGTAGTTTTTTTTTTTTTTTTTTTTTTTTTTTTTTTAAATCTATTTAGATTAAAATAAAATAAACTAAATTAATAACATAATTAGATATTTCACGTTACATAAAAACATAAAACATAAAATTTCAAATCTAGTTCACGCCGGTGGTAACTTTGAATTGTTGGTGGCCGAACGTTTTACCGCCGGTGGTAACTTTGAATTGTTGGCATGCCATTGATAAAATATTGGAATCGTTGCTACCACTTTTATGTATATTTTTCAGATTTTCAAATATGCCGTTAAAC